CCTGGTTCCCACAGGGCTGTTGCCCCATTTCACAGGCAGAGGTGAGGTTGGAAAGTGACCTGGGGCTGTCTGGAGCCCAGGCCCCTGGGCAGGGAGACGGTCAGGGAAGGCCAGGTAGGGTGGGCAGACCACAGTGCCTGGCCCGTGCCCAGTGCTGCCTGGGCTGGCTGTCCTCTGCTGTCGCTGCTCTAACCACTTGCCGCAGGCGTCCCACTGCATCAGGGCGCCTGCACTGCGCTTCCGGGAGGAGGGTCGCGGCCCATAGTCAGCCGTTGGGGGGTGGGAACGGCTTCATACAGGAGTTGGTGCGCAGTTACCCGGCTCCTATATGACGCCTTTCTTCACCCTCCAGCCACGCGCAGCCTCCGGACCCTCCTCTGCCCCTGGCTGCACGGGGGCGTGGCCCCCAGCTTGCTGCTGCCCCCACCCCGCCTCGCATGCTCTGCGGGCTCTGCTCTCTCTCTTTCTCCTGAGGCTCCCCGGGTTCCTGGAGGGGAGGGCCTGGGTCCAGACCATCTCTGAGGTCCCCTCCTTGCGGTGGGTGGTAGGCTCTGTCCCCAGTGGGATGCTCTGCAGGGCTGGGCCCAGGGTCAGAGTCGGGACCGCCCTGGGTCTTTTCCCACCAAGGGAGCCGGGGCTGTGCTCCTGTAGGGAGCCCTCCGAGGGGACCGGGCTCACAGGGATGACTGGCAGGTGTGGAGAGATGGTACCCCTTTGTTCCCAGGACTGGGGGTCAGGGCGTGAACAGGCAGGGCTGGCCCAGGGCCTAGGAGGAGGGTCTCCTTGAGGGGTCTCTGCCTCTCCCCAGGACTCTTCCGTGACCAGGAGGCTGAGGCCCCTCACAGGCGGCTTCTTACTCTCTCCTTCCCCCGTTCCAGAGATATACCCCCAAGGGCTACTAACTCCGGGACCCCTGGAGGCTGCAGTGGCCACCATTGTCCCTTCAGTGCCAGCCCTGCCCAGGTGGGCTCTAGGGCATCTGGCAGCACCTGGGCAGCTGGCACGGAGGTGGCCCTGGCCCTCAGGCCTCTGTCTTCTGCATCCCCCACTAACTCAGGCCCTGTGTGGGGGAGGTGACCCTGTGGTATGGGTGTTGTTAACCATATCCAGCAGCCACGGCAGCCAGCCCAGGCACACGCACCGAGGTAGGGGTGGGGGTCCAGAGCCACAGAGTGGGGCAGCGCACCCTGCTTCTCTCCTTCTGCCCCTCCCCGCCCCCCTGTCTTTTCTGGAATCCAGATGGACATGCTTGTCCTCGTGGGGTTCAGGATGAGGGTCACTGTTGGGTCCAAGATCACCTGGTCAACTTGGAGTGTGACAAGAGTACTCATTGGGGCCCTAGGTTGGGGGGGATCTGGATGTGGGGGCAGATTTCTGTCCGGCGTCTTCCTCTTTCTGACTTTGGGAGCACAGTGGGGCCATCTAGGTGATGGGGGACGTGACCCCACAGCTCTGCTCCTGTAGATTGTTAAGAGCTAGCAAAGCTCTTACCCTAGGGGCCTGTGTCACCACGACCACGCGCAGGGGGACATGGCAATCCGGAGCTGAATGGTGAGTAGCAGTCAGCTCGGGAGTGTGCAGTTACCCATTCCGGAAGCAAGCCGTCACCCAGCAGGCTGGGCGCCTGCACTGTTCAGGGCCTCTGTGGGGTGGAGAGGGGGCAGGAGGGAGGGGGACGGGCGGGACTCACCTGGAGGCACTCCATGGTCCAGGACCCCAGGATGGAAGGGGTGGGTTAGGCCATGGGGCCTGTACCAGGGAGCTCTGCAGGCTACTGCCTGGGGACTGGCTGCCTGCCTTGGGTCCTCACCTTCCTCTGTTTGGCTGTGATGTCATGACTCAGGGCATCATTTAATATGTACTCTCTTTTGTTTTTCCCCAGGAGAAAACGATTTGTATTGTGTCGTTTTCTTAAAGCGCTTTTTCTGTACAGCAGAGGCCTGCCTAGCCCGTCTCTCTGCCCTGCCCATCGCTCCCTGGGTGGGGGGCTGTGCCGTCTTTATAAAAGGGATTGAGCCCCTTCTGGCCAGACTGGTCCATGGATCCACTGGGCTGAAAACACTGCCAGCCACTGGCACAGCCACGCGGCTGTCTGCATGCACACGTGTGTGTGTGTGTGCACTGTGGGTGAACGCGCTCACTTCTGGCCTCCCCACATTCACAAGGCAGGCTGATTGGTGAGGAGTGCTCTGTCTGGCCTTCACTCGTGACGTTGCCCTGCTTGCCCCTCCACTTTTTGGTGGCCCAACATGGAAGGACAGCTGTTCTTGAAGGCCCTGGGCTGAAGGTCCGGGGGTCACCAGTCTGGCCCATCCTCGCTCCGAAGAGGCCTCTTCCAAGCAGGACAGAGATATGCCCATGATATGGGGCCCTTGGCACCTCCAGGATGGCTTCTAGGCAACCTGAGCTGGGTGGGGGCGAGGGTGACTCTGACCCATGGCCCTACCTCCAGGTAGTTCGAGGGGTTTGGACAGCATGCCTTGTTGTTCCTGAAACACCGCTTCTCTCTCACTGTGTCGCCCGTTGGATGGTGGGATTCAGACTGGAAGACAGACAGACAGTCCTTGGGTCACTAAGTGAGGGCTGGGGCCTTCTACTGGGGCCAGACAGGGCTGCGACCAGGCCACTAAAGAGGATGCTGGAGTCCTTGCAGCTGAGCCTGACCTTGACCCATGGGACCGCTCGTAGTCCCATGGAAAAAGTGCTGGTGGTCAGACAGACAGGCACAGTGTCCTTGGGCTCCTGGGGCCAATGGGATGTACATGGGATCATTTGCTGGGCTCTGGAAGTGGGTGGAGTTGCCTCGGATGAGGGGGCAAAGGCCACAGGAGGGGACCTGGTCCTGGCTGTACCCCCACTCCTCTGTAGCCTCCCCCCTGGGCCTTGGTTCCCCAGGTTTATCCTGATGATTAGACACAAGAAGTCCAGAGGTGGGCAGTAGAGGATGGAGCTCTGCACCCCCCACCGCCATGGGGCTGAGCGAGAGATAAGGAAACCGAGGCTTGGAGGGGTGTCCTGCAGCCTATTGGGGGGACTCCAGGGGAGGGGCCGGAGGCAGAGTGAGCCCCTGACCTCAAACCTGGGATCTGCCTGTGATCCCTGGGTACTGCTGTCGGGGCTAGATTCCTTAGACGCTGATGGTGGATGGTGGCCGTCACCATGGGAACCGTGAAGTGTGCTCTGGGCAGGGCTCTCCGCTCTGTGCCTGGTCACCTACTGTCATCCCAATAGGGCTCCTTCCTGTGGGAGATGAGAACTCTGGATAGTGAAGGAAATGGCTTTCCTTAGGCCACCAGGGAGGGGCTGGGGACCACTCTGTCCAGGCTAGTCAGGCCCCTGCAGAGCCCCTGGCCTTCCAACCTGAGATCTGTCAGGTGGTCTCACGGTACTGTTGTCAGGGGCAGATTTCCACACTGGGCAGAGAGGGCAGGTATGGCGTCCTGGGAGCCTGAGGGCCCGTGGTCGTGGAGCCTCAGTATAGTCCTCTCCCACTGGGGTTCAGGGCCATGCCAGGTGTGGCCTGGAGTACCATCTCATCCAAGGTCTCCCAGGGCAGAGCACCCTGGGCATGTCCCCAGGGGGTCATAAGTGCTTTAGGTGGGTGTGGCCCGTGGGCAGCCTGAGGTCTGCGCATGCTGGACTGTGGAGTGTGAACCAAGATGAGCAAGTGTCCCCCGACTTGCCTACTGCCCTCAGACCCCCTTCCCAGGCAGTACCCCCTCAAGAGCAGCCATTTTGTCATTTCAGGGGACTGAGACCCTCCGAAAGGGGCCCCAGGCCTTCTGCCCTGAGGTGGGGCTGGGGGTTGCTGCCAGTTGGGGCACAGAGGCGACTCCTCCCCTCAGGCTGGGGAAGGAGTGGGCTTCAGGCGGAGGGAGTGGGCTTCAGGCTCCCTGCTCCGGAGCCTCCGCGAAGAGGCAGCTCCCAGAGCCCCCCACCCGCATCTCCACTGCTTTCTCACTAGGGCACGCCTGCGGAGAGGGGTCCCTGTCAGCCCCAGTGGGTGATGGGTGGGGCAACTGCCCAAGGTGGAAGGAAGTGCTGAGGTCTGGGGCCTGGGGGTGGTGGTGCAGGTCCCCTCCACCTGTCTCCCCCTCCACCCTGTCTCATCATCCATCCTCCCCCGCCCCTTAAGACAAGCCACAAGGTCATATAATCTCTTACTCTGTTTTATTTGGGGGTAGAAAGAGGCAGAGGTGGGAGAGCGGGAGGGCAGGGGTCCCCTCCTGCGGCAGAGCACATGGGGCTGGTAGGCACGGTCAGCAGGGGCCTTGATGTTCGGCCTCTGGGCCCCTGCGCCATCGGAGAGTTAGCTGTGGGAGGGGGAGGCAGCCCTTCCATCCCCACCTGGGACCTGCTGCGGAGAGCAGCCAGGTAAGTGTGCGGCACGTCGGAGCCCCAAGGAGCAGCTGTGCAGGTGAGCGGAAGCTCAGGGTCAGATGAAGTCAGTGTCCGGAGCCGGTTGGCAGGGTGGGCTTGCGTGCAGGGTTGGCGGGCAGGTGGGCGCCCACGAGCACCGTGGTGGAGGTAGAAGTCGGTGGAGCACCCGAGGTCAGTGTCCCAGGATGGCGCAGTGTCGCTCGCCACCCCCCGCTGAGGTCCCTGGCATCTGCGCCACCCCCGGCTGAGGTCCCTGGCATCCGCTTGCTTGGCCGGGCCTGCTGCCTGCTTCTCCATCTGGCCTGGGGCATGGGGTCACGTCCTGCTGCTCATCACTCTGTCTCCTCTCATCGCTCACTCCCAGCGCAGCCTGGGACCCGAGTATTAAGACGGATCGAGCCGCCCCGAGCTGGCTCTGGTCTCTGACAATGTATCCGGTTGGCACAGACACCATTGCTGGTTGATGAGTTGAAGTTGTTGCCCTTCAGAGTGCATTCCCCTTGGGTCAGGATGGCAGAAAGGGTGTGGGGTCTGAGCCCCGAGGCCCAGGGCAGGGCAGGAGGTGTAGGGGTCTCGAGGTTCGAGGAGGAAGGGTCTGGCTGCTGGGTAGGAGGTGTTTTTCAGTCGAGGTCCGTGTCGTCTTCTGGGCCCGGCAGTTCTTCCAGGCTGGCCTCCTGCCCTAGCGGGGGCGCGGGCGCGGGCTGGGCGTGCGCGCAGACCGCAGTCAGGAGCCTGCGCAGGGCCCTGGCCACCTGCTCCCGGCCGAGCGGGCGCAGT